AAACATTCTTATCTCTACATTTGAGTTGAAGTAGCCCTTTGTTCCCTGTCTGTATAAATCATCTCATTCTAGATTCTGCATTAATATTGTCAAATCAAGATAAAAGCTCGACAAACATGTGTTTCAAAATACTCAGATATGTTAGTTGATGAAGATGAAATATGATTTTGCAGGCCTGTTTTTTTTAGAGCTGGTAGCCTTTGTTTTTACAATTTCTTCTATCTCTGTGTAGTTGAGAATCCCAGAGTTCCTTCTGGTTGAAAGCAAATACTGAATTTTGCTTTGTTCACAGAACATTGGTTATCAAGTTCTTTACTTTTAATAGTTCTGATTTAGGGAACTGTCAATTAATTTCTGGAGGGACCACCATGAAGAATTTCCGTAATTAGATTATAATGCAAAGGTTTGCTTAGTCACAATATTTAAAAATTTTTAATTATGATTTCTGGGCTATGACCCCAATCTTCCCATCTTTTACATTCAACTGCCTTTTTAATGCTGGCTTTCTTTAATTTCTTTTATTGGGTTCCTTCTCTTTTTAAAGTTTGTGAGCATAATTAAAACTACCCTACCTTTGAGAACCCTCTGTCCTTACCTAGCAGAATAAATGAAATATGGATACAATGACTGAGCATATAAATTATTTCTAAAAAAAGAAAATGCCTTTTACATAAAGCTTTTTGATTCCCTTTAATTTTTTTTTTCATTCCAGAGCTTGATGGCTATTTTTTTTTCTCTGTAGTCCAGTGATCTTGTTATTATAGCATTCTGGTAATGGTAATTTAGCACACATGCCTCATAATTATTAACCAAGTTCTACTACATTCAAATACCAAATACTGCAGGTTGGTAAATCATTTTGCAAATGACCCTTCCTTCCACTTGAAAAATATATTGTAGGTGTGGAAGGGCCAAGGGGGTTCTTAGTTGTCCTGAGTGACATTTAACAATTCTGCAAAAGGAGTAGAAATAGCTTTGGATCTTTTGTAACAAATATTCATAAGTATAATAAGGATGCCACTCTGGCTGTAGATTCTCATAAATCAATGACATTAAAAGCATGTATAGAACAATTTATATGAGAAAGTGATGTGATATGATTAATACAATAGAGGCAACCCTTGACCTAGAGGAAAGGTTATGAGGGTGGGGCAGGGTAGAAATACACAAAAAACTTTGGTTGAAACCCACAAGCACACTTGACTACAAATCTTTGGAATGCATTAAATAAAATATCATTTTTTAAATTGCTAAAGTCTTTGAGAATCATAGCACAGTATACAAATGTTTATAAAGTTAAGATTTTAAAACCATGGATGACATCATATTTAATTAGATGAAACAGAATCAAGGAATTCTATTCATCATTAAATATTTCCTCATTATATACAGAGGGGTACTGAGATTAGAGGTATCTCCAAGAACTTGTCCAAGGTCATATAACAAGCAAATATCAGGTTATATTGAACTCAGGGATGAAAAATAATATAAGCTTTATAAAAATTTTTTTGGTGCCATTAGGAAAAAAAAATAGGTACAGAGCAACACTATGTACAAATTGATATAATTTGGCTTGAAGCTCATGCAAGACCACAGCTGGGTGCTTCATAACAACAACTTTCTATTTTTACTTGAATTTTGGATAAAATATGTTATTTGTGTGTTTAGGATAAGTTCATTTTAGGACAAAGTTTTGAAGAATTCAAAGTTAATCTTTCTGTTTGTTCCCTAGCCCCCCAAAATTCAAACCTTCAACTCCTGCCCCCCTACTCCCTTGCCAAAAAAAAAAAAATCATAAAAATGTACCAAATCAAATTAACCAAAACAGCTATGACATTTAACAGAGCTATTCATATATTTCAAATAAATTCTAATTTCTTCTGGTTTTAATTATCAGGAAAATTGCTCAGTGTCACTATTTTCTTTTGAGATCAGTTCGTTGGACTCTTTAAATATATATATTTCTTGAAGAGGAATGTGTTTTATACCGTCTGTTTCAGGTTGGACCAGGTAGACTTGGGGAAAAGTGGATGGCACTTTTTTAGTCGTTTTATTTTATTTAGTTTTTTAGTTATATTTTATAGTGGTTATGATTTGTGTTAAGCTTATGTGGATTAAGTCGCACTGCACACAAAATTTAGAAAGTGTGGGCTAGGAATGTAGTTCAGTGGTAGCAAGCTTGCCTGGCATGTGCAAGGCCCTGTGTTCAATCCCCAGTACAGAAAAAATTAGAAAGATGTCTGAAAGTATCTTAATATGAATAAAGTCTTAAAAAGAATTGGCACAAATACTATACTCCTTAAGTATAATCATACTTTTGTTCTACCCTGGTGGAGATCATGGTTGGTATACTGTATTCTAAGAGTGCATTTTAGAGTAGTATAAAACTTTAAATAGAAGAATGTATAAAAAATTATGTTCTTATTACTTTTGTTTTTAAAGAAAACCATAGGAAAGAAGGAGAGTGTGCCATCCTTTTATGGCACAGAATTATGCCATTAAAATTGGAGAGGTTTAGCAGAAACAATAAGTTTTTTAGTGTTACTTGGTGGTTGCAGGTTCTTTTCTGATGATACTACACGAAATGAAGACTCCAGCAAAGATACAAAAAATGACAATTCACTGCTGCTTTATATCTCAGGCAAAGTATCTTGTAGGATCTGGTAAGAGTTGAATGACTGGGCAGAAGGTCTCAGGTCATTAACATAAAGAGCTCTTTGGCACCCTGTGTCATAGAACAAAGTGTCTTACCAGTTCCCATTACTAGGTTCCTGTGGTGCTTTTCTTAAATAATCAGTCCCATTCAGACAGAGATTTTAAGGCCCTTGATCACCTATTTCACTAGCAGTAATTTTTTTATGGCTAAATGGCTCTGGAGGCAGAATGTGTTTGAAGCAAGGTTTAGAAAAGAACTTGCTGTATCCCAAAGCTGGCCTTTTTCTTTTTTGTTTCCCAAAGGTCAGACAGAAGTCCAGCTCTGATAGTACTGTATTTGGCCATCCAGGTACCATTTCCTCTAGCTCCATATGCCAGCTTGAGAGGGCCGTGAGGTTGTTTACAAATAGAGATCTGTTTTAGACTGGCCTCAGAAATCTTAGAAGGTGGAATCAGACCAAGCCTTGTTTGCTCTACTTTGGTCTCAGATATGGGTGCCCCAAGATTTTAATCTTTCTTCTTTAAACTTTTTTAAAACCAGTAAATTTTGAAAATAGTCAAACCAAAAAGCATTGCAACCATGCTATATACATAAATATATTATTTCTAAAGTGGACTTTCAGTGTCCCATTTAAAAAGTATGCTTCAACACCTTACTCTGCTTTTGCCCTTGTGAATTTCAAGGTCACACTGGCAGAGTATAACTTTTGAGATCAGGAGAGCTTCCTCTTTACGGAGCTATTTTTAGTGGAAGGTAGGAAAGCCACAAAGCTCAAAGACAGGTATATCCTATAGTAGAAACTAATTTGGAGGCTTTTGGAGATCTGACTCTCAGCAGGGTTCCTTTTGCATCTGCTTCAGGAGAGGGTATTTCTGCTGACTGTCACTGCCAAGTTGGGGAGAGGGTAACTTGTTTCCTCCAGGGAATTCAGCCTGTGGTCACCCTGACACATCCTGTCTGGAAGGTACATGGTTTAGTCCTGGATTGACCGCAGTAGAATCCACAGAGCCTGGGGTGTTCTATACCCACACTCAGTGAGACTCACCCACTTGATTCTATCTTCTACAAACTTGGGCCCCTGAGATAAATTTTAACCCAATTATTACAAAATGTTATTCTGCAGTGTGTATCACTCCAGACTAGACTATGGTGAAAGGCAGGCTTGGGGAAGTAACCTGCAGAGTGGGGGACCCGGCTTACACTAGAAGGGCCTAGTGTAGAATCTGGAATCTCAGGGATACTGGGGAAGCTGGTCCGATGGTTGTGCGCTGGGGAGGATGGAGGGAAGAAGAATAGAACAGGATTTGAGGGATAATTGCAGGGGGGCCAGGTAGAAAAATAAAGATGCTGAGACACACACAGAGAAGCAGAAGGGAAGTAAAAAGACACCAAGGGACTGAGACACGAACGATGGGAATGAAAGAGACCTACAACGCACAGACGATAGATAGATAGCAACCCTAAAGGAATGATAGAAAAACTCAAGAGTCAGAGACAGAGCACAGAGGACGAGTATAGGAGACTGATGGGAGGTGTCCCTATCAAGGGAGATGGCAATGGCTCCAAACATCCCGCATTCTCGCTCGGCCCAGCCGGCGAGTGGAGTGAAGAGAGTCCAAGGTCGCCCAGTCCTCTCCGCTCCCGCGCGCTGAATGGCTGGCAGTCCGCGGCACCCCCGCCTCTGGCCACGCAGCCACAGGTCCGCGGTGCGTCGGCGCCCCGCCCGAAGTCGGCAGGGGCGCCCCGCACTCTCTGAGGCGGGTTCTTGCCCTATGCACCTCCCCGCCACTCTGCCCGCGGTTGCCGTCCTCTGGGGAGAGGGCGCTGCGGCCACCAGAGGCGCCGCAGGAGCTACTTCTTCCTGCCGGCCCAGTTCGCCGAATGTCTAAGAGTGGGATCTATTTACTTGGGTATTAATGAGTCTTTGAGAAACCGTTCACACACGTGCCAATGTAATTGTCGGTGTCAGGAATCTAGACACGCCAAGCCGCGGCCCTGCGGAGAAACCATCACCGCTGCGCGGGGAAACCTAGAGATCTGCAGAGCGTCCCCCGGTGGCCGGGCAGGGCCACGACTCCCCCATCCCCTCCCCTCGCCCAGCGGTTCCAGGGCTTCTCAGTGTCGCGGGTAAAGCAGCTGCTGCCTTGTATGCCCACAGCCTACGAATTCTCACCACCTCACCCCACCCCTCCTTTAGAAACTAGGACTGTCCGTGTCTGCTGTTTGGCTTTTTTTTTTTTCCTTCCCTTCCAAAAGGCCAGTATCTTATCTCAAGTTCAAGTTCCGAGGACTTGCCCAGTCTCCTCCCCTTCAATCATTTCTACCATCCTCTGGCATCCGCGGAAAGCTGGGAATCCTGGGCTGCTGGTCCCAGTGCCAGCTTTGGCAGTCCCAGTCTGTCCGGCACAGCAGCCCGGCGCATTCTCTTTTCTCCCTCCCATTTTTCTTCCTCCCTTTTATTCTTTTCTTTCCTCCTCTACTTCCCCCTCCCTCTTTTGCCTCTTAAGTTTCCTGCACCGTGAATCCAACTGTGCCAAGCCTGGGCTCTCGCGAACCAATCCAGAGCGCGACCCGGGCATTGGGACGCCGACTCCGCCAAGGCTGGAGGAGGCAGCTGGACCCGTCCTCGCCCGAGCATGGAGACGGAGCTCCAGGGAGGGCACGTCCGGGGCGCTGGAGACGCCAGGCCCGAGTAGCTCCTCCATGGAGCCTGCCCAGAGCGGTCAGTGCTCTCCGGATTCTCCTCCAGTCCTGTGTGGTAGGTACCCTTCGCCTTCACTGTTTCCAGAAGGGACACCTTGGGGCAGGGTCGTAGAAGCCAGTAAGGAGCGGCGGGGAGGGGGAGAGAGCATGCCTGGCAGGTGAGCCTCCCAGCCCCAGGCAGGTTTGTACTCTAGAAGTTAGCAACTGGCTGTGCCCCTTGACTAGCAAAAAGTAGTGCTAGTGATGTGATGTTGTGTATGTGTGTGTATATCTGTATGTGCAGGGGACTCGAATGGGTAAACTGAGCCCTGCTTTCCTATATGCAAATTGCAACCCCTTTCCCCACCCCCACTTCAGCGAACGTGTTGAGATATCCAGCACCTAATCCTGGTCAGTTCTACCTACCCCTTTCTTTCACCGCGCCCCCTCGCTCAGTCTCTCCCCCTCTCTCCTTCTCTCTCTCTGCTGGTGTGTACGTGTGTGAGCCTTGCCAGGGCTGGCGAAGAACCAGCCGCCGCCTCTTGTCCGAGCTGCCGGGCTATCAAACGTTAGGGCAGGACTCGCTGCCAGAAACAGTTGGGCTCTGAACCAGCCTGCACGCGGCTCTGTGTGCCCAAAGCCTCCGGCCTCTGCCGCCCCGGAACTCACACCCAAGAAGCGCAGGGCGCAAGGAGCCCCTCACCCTCCCGCCCGCCCGCCCGCCTGCCTGCGGACTGCGCGCTCGCTCATTTCAGACGCTGGATTTACTCGCTTTCCAATTTTTCGCACCCCCATCTCAGTTTTTTTTTTTTTTTTTGGTCCACCCCTCCCCGCCGCGACCCCCTTTCCCCGCTTGATCGCCAAGCCTAACCTTGCCCGCGTGGTCATGGGTTGTCTAATTTCATTTGTATCTAGGCTGCTGAGAGCGCTCCTTGCTCTGTAAAGTGGATGTCAGGTGGATCTATGTTTTTGAAGGAACAAAGACTCAGCGAAGGCACCGCCAAGGAAGTTTGAGACGCGGGAGGATGCAGGCTGCGTGCTGGTACGTGCTTCTCCTCCTGCAGCCCACGTTCTACTTGGTAAGTCGTGGCGGGTCGGGCGCCTCTGAAATTCCTCTCGGTCCGGGAGGCCAGGCAACTGGGGGCGCGCCAGAGGAGTGTGAGGCCGCCAGTTCAGCGACAGTGTTCTTAGTGACTGTGTTGGAACAACTTTGGGAAGCTGGTCTCTAAATTCCTGCGGGATTTTCTGGGGGGGTTCTCACCCCCATAGCCTTCTCCAGTTTCCCTTTTCCTAAGTGTGGTTGTAAACGGCCGACGGGGCACCCCAGACGTCCAGAAACCAAAGAAGTGGTGGGACTAGATGGTTTTGAGGGAGAGGGCAAAGAAGAGGGGTGGAAGGCATGGGATTTTTAGTAGTTCATCCACAGAGTTTAAGAGAAAGGAATGGGAATGGGGTTAAGGGGCTGAAAGCACAAATCTGCCTAAGTCTGTGACTTTGAAATTCAATGTACCCACCCCCTCCACCAGTTTGGAGATGTGGCACACATAAAGAAATGCAGGTAACTTACTTTGACTGGGGTGGGGGGAGTTCAGACAGGATTTAGTTCCGCTACCAAGAACACTATAAATCAGAGCTGGGTCAGAGATACTCCAGCAAGGTGCCCCACTCCAGTTCCTTTCAAAAACCTTTTCCATCAAATACCAGAACCCGGGTTCAAGTGCCCACCTCCTTATGAGAAAATGATGGGCCTTATCTCCAGGGAGATAAACCTAAACAAAGCCACTGTCAGGGTCCACCCAGAATAGTTTTCTGGGATTAGGACTTTGCACAGTGTAGGAACTCACTCCAGGGAGAAGGGCTTTGTTGTGAATTGGGAACTAAAGACATCACCAGAGAAGAGTGCACTTTCCGGGATCTGGCTTTTGGGAGGGCCAGGGACACTAGCACTCTGCTGGTGAAGTTGTACTCTGTGGAAAAAAAAAAAAAAAAAAAAACCAACAGTGGGTCCTGGGCTGCAGAAGTGTGCCCAGGACTCAGTGTGTTCTGCCTAGGGTTGAGGAGAATTGGAGCCGCCTGGATTACTAGTGAGGAAGGATAAATGGGATTGGAGGTGGTGCTGGTGCTCCTGAACCCCAAGATCTTCAGAATCCTTATAATCCTGGGAGCAATAAGGTTGCCATCCTGCAATTGTCTGCGTTTCTCAGGTTTCTCGGTCAGCCTTTGCCCTGGTACATGTGACTGCAGGGCTGCGAGTTATGTGAAATTTATATATATATGAGAGAGAGAGAGGGAGAGAGAGGGGGGGAGGGAGAGAGAGAGAGAAGAGGAGAAGACAAGAGAATATGAATATGTGTATTTAACAGGCTCCAGCTTCAGTTTCAGATCCCTGTCTTTGCACCTTTATCTCCTGACCATAGCTGCCGCGGACGCCAGAGGGCGCTGCGCATCAGTGTCCTCGCCCACAGGACACCTTGGGGTAAACAGGTGAAAGCCTGGGCAGCCAATCCAAAAGAACAGCTTCTCTGACTCCGTCACTGAAGTCTGTGCCTTCTACCGCTAGAACGCAGACTGAATGCAAAGAGTGTCCTTCCCAATTCCCATTTTCTATCCCACCTGTGTCCAGTTAGCCCACTGACATTGAGAGCCCAAAGTTGGAGGGCAGAAAGTTTGGTCAGAGGAAATACAGATTTTCTTTCTTTCTTTTTAAATTGAGGGATAGGGGAGGGAATGTACAGTGAAAGCGACAGAGGAGGAATATTAAGGATTCCCTTGACTATCGTAACCGCCTGCCCCTCTCCTCTGCATGCCTTTACGCATGACCTGAACCTCAGGACCGTTCTTGCGTCCTTGGGCTGTGCTCACACACACTGCAAGGGCTCCCTGCTACGGTGCAGTTTATTGCTTGAAGCAAGTATTTCGATAGTCTGGAAAATAATCTATCAAAAGCAGAAGTGAAATCAATACGTTGTGTTAAATTTTAAATGTGTTTGTTGGCAGTTAAACCGTTTTCCACTCATTACAACAACAGTGCTGGATTTATTCTAATGCGCTGCGTTCTCAACAACAAGAGCATTAATTCTCCTTTAATTGTAAACTGGGAGCATTTGAAAACCATTCAGTGTGCAAATTATGCTGATTCAATTACCGTTTAGTTACAGACTTCATTACCTGAATGCCTTTTGGCAATACAGAGAAAGGAGACAATTTTTCCAATTTCACTCAAAACAATACGATATGTGAACAATAAAATAGAGAAGACGATTTAGAAGTCCATTCTTTTCTCTCCAATCTAAAGTTGTTTTGTGTGTAGGGGATTAGAAAACAAACACACACCACAAAAACAAAAGGCTGGTGGCCATGACCCAAAGCAGTATTTCCAGGGATTGTAATCCCATGGTTATTTCCCAGCAAAATTCCAAGCTGTTTTCCTGATGAAGGAGGAAGCTGACTTTTACCATGGAAATGAATATAAAGGGTGAACTGGGCAGTCAAGTCAGGATGGTTTTAGGCAAATAAAGAAGCAGGGAACCTTGATTAAAACTCTAGGGCAATGAACAGATCAAGAAGTGATCAAGGCTTCTTTGTCCATCTATTGTATTGAACACAAGACACAGTAACTGAATCTACCATTTATTTGTAGTTGCACACCAAATCATCTCAGCCTTTTGCAAAAATCTTCAATAAATGCATACAGGTTGTCAGGAGCTGCTTCAAATTATACTCCAAGAAGGCAAGGGTGGCAAAGCCATTATTTTATTTTTTCTTTGAACTGGCATGAGCTAGAGAGGAATTGAATAAGTAATTTTCTGTCTCCCTGAGCTCACACCACTACCTAAATGACTGGAACACTCTATATATGCCTTGCTTTCTAGCTAATACATCTAGCATACCTTCCTTTTGTGTTCGTGGAATCCCAGTTGTTTCCCAAGGAATAATTAACACATTATGCCCAGGGAGCAGGACATGTTTAAATATGTTTCATACAGAAATATTCAAGTTTTTGTCTGTAAAAGATAACTTAAATATCTCCAAATTTTGGGGAAATTTCTTATGGAAAAAAACTGTCTAACCAGCAAATAAATGGCCAATACTTAAGCCACAATTTCTGCCTGTGTCTTTGAGAACCTTTATCAGGTATGTTTCTTGGCCCAAGATTCTCTGAATACCTTTTCTAGGTTGAGGATTTTGAATCTCTTTGTGTTTGTTGAAAGATGGGTCTTTCCTAGTTCTTATTAGAGGCTTAACCTGGTATTACATTGGGAAGCTAATTAGAAATACATTTGCAAAGGTACCTTTTGAAGCACATTAGTTATAATACTCAAATATCACCAAGGGGTACATTCCAGTCATAAATGTACAGTGATAGAAACCCTCTTAAAAATTAAGGTAAGGAAAATTTCAGTGTACTAAATGTTTTATATTGAAGATTTAAATTTTGGAAATCAATAGGAGAGAAACTTATGGTTTAACTTGCTACAGTTATTTGTATAGTCCTACTATCTTTATTCTCCTGTAAGTTCTGGACTAATTCCAGGGTATTTTCAGTATGATATAATGGGATAACAGTTTAGCATTTTATCTATATTGAAACACATACTGGGATAAAATAGAAAAATATGATTTCTTGTTCTAAAGAATGGGGCGAGGTCCTAAACTGAGTTACTCTCAGTGGATCAAGCTGTAGCACAGGGCAGGGAATAGGGAGAGTATTTCCCAGTGGAAAATGTGGTATTCTGTTTGGGGGCTCACCTGTGGTAATTCTCAGATAAAGAACTGAGTCCAACGAACACTTTCTAATCATGCCAATGAAAAAGTTACACAGAAATTGAGTCCAGATTATCTGACAAGGGGAAGAAGATGTTTTCTCTTTCCCTTCCCTCCCTCCCCCCCCCCTCTTTCTTTCTTCCTTCCTTCATGGCACTAATCTAACAAGAAAAGCTTCTACTAGTTCTGCTAGAAATTCAAATAGCTAATAATCAAGTTGTTTTTTAAATAAAAATGAACAAGAATTGAAAACCCTTTCTAAACCTTGTGTCACAATACTTTGAACCATCTATTTGCTCAAATTTAGGGTGTCCTTACAATGTAAATTCTACATCATTTGTTTAATTGAGGTTAAAAAGAGGATTAATGCATCCACAGGATCACTACCTGTGCACTACCTATTTGCCTTTGGTTAGAAGGCAAACCATTTGGGTAAATTCCACTCATTATGGCAGTGGTTGTTTAAAAATATGGAGACTGGGGGAAAGCAGAAGGAAAGAAACTACCACTGTCTGTTCTTTGAAGAAGGCATGTGTATTTCCTGTCCTTTGAAAATTAAGCTAGCTCCTCACTGGAAATTTTACTCAATTTGAGCTTATTGCCAAAAATAAAGTAAAAATGGATTAGCTACCTAACAGTAACTTTAAGTATTTTCTATGAAGGCTAGTTCATAGAGACAGTACTAGAATTTTCCTATAGCACATTTCCTGACTTTTCTACCCAAGACCAACCTTCTAGACACAGGATTAAACCTAGATTTTTAGAGGGGCCTATGTCCCAGTAGCACAACAGGAGAACTCATGAGCCCCACAGGAGTACTCCAGAGTTTTGTAGGACAGGGAAGGAGAAGTTCCTACTATTCCAGGCATTTTCCTGAAATGCCCAACTCTCCATTGACCAGGAAAGCAGCTCTTTGAAGTGTGTGAGAAGTACTTGGATGGGTTGCCCTTTTGCCCCATTTCCACAAGTATTATGTTGAGGCCTTCTAGTGACAGCTTCAGGGAAACTGCCTTCTGTATTAGAGGGACAAGACCAGAATTGCTGCAACTCTGTTAGCAGTGTTTTCCCAGAAAGCTATTAAATTCGTGGCTCCTTATTGTGCGAAGTTGATTTCTATTTGGCTTTGAATTGTTGACGGCTATTTCCCCCTTAATGAAAGTGTTGTCTGGGTGAAAAATATATCCGGTGGCAGGGAAATTGGTTGATTTTTTTGAGATAGGTGCCCAATGTCCTACTTTCCTATCCGAGGGAAGGTTTTCTGCAGACTACAGAAATTGACAGCATTGTCCGGGTAATAACCACCGTCGACAATATT